ATAAAAAATAGGGATTGGAACAGTTTATGTCTCACAAGACTGTGATGAGAATTAAATAAAATAATGAGAGTAAATGAATGAATTAAAAATGTTTAGCATTTAGTGGGCACTGGATAAATGGTACAATTACTATAAGGAGCCAGAGTTGAGTCTTGGGAAATACTTAGACTAGTTTGAACAACCCAGAAAGTTAAAATGACAGCCATTAATGTAGAAAATCCCTCTCTATCTGTGGATTCTAAAAACAAAAACTTTCTCAAACACGCATTGAGAAACAGTAGATATATACAACATTTGAAAACTTATCAGACCATTTGTTCCAGTTTGTTATCATTTGCTAATCATTTGTCTGTTCTTGATTGTTGGAAAGATTTCTTCTTTAGCTCAGTTTGTAGCTCTTTTATTATAGTAGGATATGTACCGTCAACCTCAGTTTGTCATATCAAAGGAGAATGCAGACGATGACCTGTTGAAAGATAGCAAGCTCATGCAGGTTGGATGTGTTTGAAAGTTGCTAGGGATTGGTTGTTACTAAGTACCTGTATTGAAATCGACTCCTATTTCATGTGTTGTTGTTATTAACCACTGAATATTTGAATTAGCCAGTAAAAATTCAAAAAGGATTCAGGTGGTTGAGCTATAGCCAGATTATGCTAGATGAATCAAATCAAGCAATAAGTGATTGTAACAATGTTAACTCAATTAACTGTGATTGACTTTGAACACTCTGATGAACTACCATAAATGAACAATTTCAATACTTCATGCTCCCTTTCCTAGACCTATCTTTGACTAGCTCCACCTTTTGTTTTTAGTAGTTTGTGTTTTGTTTTTCACTTGTATGAAGGTAGTTCCTGATTTCAGATGGTTGACTTAGAATTTTTCTACCTTATGATGGTTAGAAAGCAATACTCAGTAGCAACTGTACTCTGAATTTTGAATTTTGATCTTTTTCCCAGGATAGTAATATGTAGTATGATACTCTGGCAGTGCTAGGCAGTTGCAGTAAGGGGGAGCTCCTAGATAACCACACAATTATTTGGGAAAAATAACCAAGACTCTATAGGGAATTGTGTTGCTAAGCTATGATGTTAGGTTAGGAGTGTTAAATGCATTTCCTTCTTACAATATTTTCAATTTAGGATGAGCTTATCATAATGTAAACCCATTGCAAGTTCAGGAATACTTGTAATTTGTATGTTGAGACATTTAATGCACAGAAGAACAAATAATAAAATCAACCTCACTTCCTAGAATTGTCTCATTTATTGTGTAATATTTGCTTAAACTCTTCCTTTTTAAAGTGCTAGAGTTGGTCAAATCTCCACTTAGAAACATCATTGAAATTGTGTATGTTGTTCCCTTTTATTTAGTATTTTCACTCATATTTATTGAACTATCTCAATATTTTGTCTTGGTTTATATATTTTAAATTTACATAAATAACATTTTACTTATTCATTATGTTTCTAAAATCTCTGTGGATATAGTTCTAGCTCTGTTCTAGTTCTCCCTTGTGAGATTTGTGTCTCACTTTGTAAATGAAATATTTCACTTGCTACTCATATCTACCGACCTGCCTTACTTCTAAACTTGGCCCATGGGTGACAGGATGCTATTTCTGGAGGAGTTAGGAGAAAATATCATTTTAAATTTATATCTTTACGTATTGTCTATACTGCAAACTTTTGAAGTGACAGAAGCTAAACTGGATGGAAGGTCAGAAAAATGTGAATAAATTAAGACTCTTTAAGGCAATCCACAATGAGGGTAAGACTGCATATGAAAAAAAAATAACAGGTGATAAGAGAAGTGAATATCTTGTGTTAAAACAAAATAAGCAGGAGCCCATTTGCCTGGGGTCATTTCTGTACCCAGAATCTTTATGCAAGTAAATTGAAACTTAGAGACATAGTTCATAACCGATTACTTCTGAATTGAGCTTCAGTCAATCACAGCCAGTCAAGTATCTCAGTGGTTATATAACTAAGGACCTCACATGGAACCATACCCAAATAAGGCAAATAACTGGCTCTCTCCAGTCAAGTAACTTCTTGACTTTGTTTCCATGTGTAGTCTATACATTCCCACTGCCCATGCTGCCAGGCTGAGCTCTCTAAACCTCTTCCAGTTTTGAGTGCTGCCTGATTCATGAATCATTCTTTGTTCAAATAAGGTATGTTAAATTTATTTTATCTAATGTTGTTCTTTTAACACTCAGTTACCTAGCAGATTAATGGCAGTTCTTGAACTACCCACTCCAGATCTCAAAGCCAAACAATTTCATAGAATAAATTATAAAACATTTTCTAGTTTATTATTCTGTTCAACATGCTGCTGCTTGTGTTAAATAATCAAATGGAGATAAGATAATGAATTCTTAAGGCCCTTTCCATTAGACATAAATGAAAATGAGTGATACCTGGATTTCAGAATGGCTGGATAGATTTATAACTTTAATCCATCATTTTTTTCCCCTTATGATTGTCTTCTCTCTCCAGGTAAGCCTAATTACTATCTCTTTCCCCTGGATAAAGCCCTCTGTCCTATTTGTTCTGATAGGTAGGGAGGTATATAGTTTGGCAAGGCAAGTATCATTGGTAATCAGAAGTTATCTCCTGTGTAGTTACCTGTCAGCATTAGTTTTGCCCCACAGTTGTCTTGATTTCTGGCTAATTAATGAATATGACATACCCATTTCTTTGAGGTTTGGGTGTGCCAAGGTTGGACTGGAGACAGAGAACTGACTCATTAATTAAACCACAACCTGAAAACCAGGAGTTTGCAATTCCAATTAAGGTCTGCAATTTTCTTTAACAAAAGCCAGTCTCAGGCTCTTTAAAGTAAGGCAACATTGTTGTTGTTTCATGTGGCACATGGTATCAGAACAAATAATTCCTCATTTAATGTTTACTTTGAATGTCAAAACTAGTACAACACCTAAGATTAAAAGTCTTGAAAACAATTTTTAAATTTTGCTTACTTTGGTTTTGTTCCTCTAAGATATTTCATATATTTATAAGATAAATAAAATCACTATCCTTGACCACCTGCTGGAAATAAAAATTTAATTGCTCAACATAAGTTAAATGATAGGTTAAAAGCAAACATCTGTCGTGTTAAATATAAGACTTCATCTAATTGTGTTCTTAACAAAATTATAATAATTTGTATTATTTACAAATGAGTTTAAGTTGTATAATTTGAATTTAGATCTGCTTGGGAATGCATAATTTTTGTTAATTTTAATATTTACCTATTATCCTACCTGTAAATAGCATAGACATTATAAGGTTACTCATAAAAATATTCATTGATAGGGAAGAATAATTGTATGGTTATTTTAAGCACAACCCTAAAATGTCAGGGTATAATAACTTCTGAAAAGATGAAATAATTGTCTAAACCAGGATATGAGCTGATTATCATTATTTGTCTCAGATGATGTATTCTCAAACTTCTGGGAGACATTGTGAATATTTTAGCTACTGATTATTATTATTATAGTTTTAAGTATATGTCAGTTCTATATATGTGGGTATGCTGCTAAAGTATGGCTCAAAGGACATTTCTCTCAAAGGCATATCCATATTATATTTTTGTGAAGACTCCCTTGTAATTTTATTTGGTTTGTGGTTATATCATTATTGGTGTATCATGTAGAATATGGCTTCACTCTGTGAATTAAATACTAGGCAGACACTCAAAATAAACCCCTTCATTTAAAATTATTCTATATGTTAGTGTGCATGTGTGTAATATGTTATTATTTAAATGCATATCATAGCTTAAACCTATCACTAAAGTTGTAATTTCAACAATACTTTATACTTCTTTTTCTGTTTTCATTTGTGAGGATTTATTAGCTCACCACATAGGATTTTATAATCTTTCTGACATTAGATGAATATTTGAACTGTACAAAAGATTTTTGTGGAAAGAGTCTGAAACTGAAACTCAAGTCTCTATGCTGAGGTTTGCCAGTGTCTAGCTGGATAAGTCTCAGGAGTCATTCAGAGATATAGTATGTTGAATCATTGATTACCAAGTTTGAGTCACTTGTGCTATTTATTAACCATATGGTCTCAGGCAAATTACTTAACCTTTCTATCTTAGTGTTTTATCCATAAAATGGTACTGATTATAGTACATCTCTCAGAGTCACTAAGAAAATGAAGTCAGTTGCTATTTGTATATTACTTAGAATATACTGCCTATGTGATTGTTTAATAAAATCTTAATGTTATTTGACTTTATTGGATTTGATGTTTCCATAAAATATTTCCAGTGTAGAAACTACATCATTTTAAGGCTGTTTCTTGCCTTCATTTCTGTACATATTTTTCTTTTCTTTTTTTTTTCAATTGTATAATCTACTTCAGTGCCTGTAGCCTCTGGTCAGATGCTAGCAATCATTCAGGGCCATGATTTGTCCTGTTATGGAATACTTTAATTCATACATCTTTAACTTATTAAACATATTGATTAAACATTGTTTTGTTTCTATGTGGAATAGTAATGGTGACATAGTTTAACACTGATGATTTCTTTTTGTCATTTATTTGAAATTAAGGTAAATTTGCAGAACTAAAAGCCAGGCAAAATATTTGTAAATATTATGGTTGTATATACTCCTCTACCTGGATTAGAATTCGTTTTTCAATTGTGTGGACATTTATTTTTAAATTTCCTAAAGAGTTTAGTGTCATGTATTTACTTTTTTTGATTTCTGTCTTTATAAATGTGCTATTGGATGTCAAGCTTTTAGAAAACTAAATGTGATGACTGCTGTTCCACTGTTTATCAGATTTCTTTAGTACAGGTTGGTACATGACTTATCACATCCATAACTCTTTGTTAAATATGCAGTCAGTTTTAATGATGCTTGAAACCTGTTCAATTGGATTGTTTTCTAATTTAAAAATAGGACAAACAACTGTGTAGCATTTTCAAAAGAAGAACTTGGTGTAGAAAGTGGATCAGTTTGTTTTATTTTAAAGACAGGATATGCTCACCAGGGTGAAAGAGGCCATTGGAATTGGAATTTGCTTCAACTGATGGGAAAAAGTCCAACCAAGTCAGTGGGAAGACTCGTTATTAGAAGGAATATTGATGGCAACAAGAGGCAGTACTAACAACCAGGAGGTCGGAGTCCATGAGGACCAGCAAGGTGCACCAGATGGTGTCCCAGCAGGTGGGTGGGCCATGGCAACACAGAGTCTGGAAGCAGGTGATATCCAAGCAGATAAAATTTAAAAAATCTGATCCCAAGGATGGGGCCCCAAGATTGAGGATGGGGCTAAGGTTTGAAATCCAGACCTTGGGAACATTGGATAGAACACAGAGGCCCATTTCAGAGGGGATAGTGTACTGTCCAGGGCATTAGAACAGCCTTTGCTGTGTGGCATCACTGATTAGTGAAAACTTGTAACACCCTCAGATTTGGAGCTTGTGAGGATTGGAGGGATGCTGGAGCAAGGAACCAGCAGGTCTTTATATTCCTTAACTAAGGCACATTTTTTTTTAATTTCAAAAACTGAAAAACTCAAATATGGAATTAAGTGTACTTTATTACTAATGATGAAGATTAGAAGGCAACTTTTAGGTAATTGATTAGCTCTGCTTTTTTATTTAATTTTTTAAGCTTACAGTGACTTTTAGATCATACAGAATTCCCTGTGGTTAAAAATGTTCACATGGGACCCAGGTTAAATAAATCATGAAATATATACATATTATTCTGACTTTTCTTGAATTTACCTTTAGGATAAAATCACCTATCGGAGAAAAGAATATAAATTGAAAGAATTAAGAAGTAGGTTATTTCTGGCATTGCCTGTTGGAATGAAAGAGAAAATGGTATGGAAACTGCTGAAATTAATTTCCTTACAGTGACATGAGTGTAAACTGTCCCTTTTCCTGAAAGTTGTCAGGAGGACCAGCTGACCTTGTTATTTTACTTGGGGAGGACATTCTGCATCAAAGCAGGACCTTTGCTTCCAAGGATGACGAGAGTCCTGGATATTGTCTCTGGTACCTGAGTCTCAACTCTTAACATTTTCTGTTGTTGGTCCCAGACCTTATGTATACTGACTTATTAGTGACAAAAGGGAAAAAACTCTCAAATAAGACAAAATTCAAGCATTATCATGCTTTGCATTTTTAATAAAATCTTAGTCTAATGATTACATTAAAATGTTTATTTTACTATATTATTATGAAGTTTCAAAGCTTCATCATTGTTTCTCCAAGTATTCTTTTCAATGGATGAAAATCTGTTTTTTTCCAATAGACTTTCTTTATAATGGTGAATTATAGTTTAGAGAAACTATGCATTCACTTATCAAATGGCAGTTGATTTAAGTAATCACGATAAACTTGGCTATCATGAAATGTCGTTTCAAATTCTGACCTTCTGGCTTTGGTGTAAGTTATTTACCATATTAAGTTTTAGTTTTATATCTTAGCTACTACCTTTTTCATAGAAACACTATATTTCTGGTACACTATTGGGGCTCCCAATGAAAGACAAAGCTATCACTTTCTAATGGAAATTATTGAAAAGTATTTTAATATATTCTATTTTATATGCCCTCAGAACATAATTATATCAATCATCATTCCATCAGAGAAACAGAACAAATAGAGAATATATTTAAAAACTTATTGCAAGCAATTTTTTAAATGATTATGAGAGCTGACAGAAGGGCAGGTTGGAACCTAGGGGAAAGAGTTGAAGCCTGACTCCACAGGTGGAATTTCATCTTCAGAAAAACCCAAGTTTGCTCTTTCAAATGATTTGATCTGGTTCATCCAGAATATTGAGGGTAATCCTCTTGCTTAAAGTCAACTGATTGCAAATGTTAATCATGTCTACAAAATTTCTTCACAGGAATACTTAGATGGTAGTCTAGCTAGGTTGACACAAAAGGCTGACCATCACATCACAGTTCACCTTTAGGCAACTTTGTATTTCTGTACATTTTCATAAACCATACTGAATATGAAGGACAATGGAAAAAGCCATTCATCCATATGAAATGATAAAGTTCTTCTGAAGCATGTTTTGTAACCAAAAGCGTATTCACACTTTCTCAAGAAGAGAATGCAGTGTCATTGGATGATGATATTCAGTCTTCTCCACGACACTATGTGACTTAAATACTGTGATGTAAAGTTAGCTATTATGGACTTACATTGGTTTAGAAGATAAGGCCTTAAAAGAAATAAGAACACCTGAATTAGACACACATACACACACCAAAATGAGGATATTTAAAAACTTATGGTACATCCTTCTAGAACCGGCTACATAGTCAGAGCTGACGTTTGTAACTCTCTTCTTATAGTGACCAATCCATAGTCTCCTGGATCTCAAGCAGGCACCTCAGCTGATGGTAGGATGACCCAAACCCTCATTCCTTCATGAATTATTGTGGTTTTAGTCACAGAATGTGATGATAATAAAAGATGCTGTTTTGTTTTCTGTTGCTAATGACACAGTGCTAAAGACTGGGTAAGATATAAAGAGAAGAGGCTTATTTTGTCTGACAGTTCTGGTTCAAGGTCGAAGACCTTTTTGTTGGCAGAATGTCAAAGTGTGGTACAGGACGTCACATGACAAGAGACAGGGAGTACATGTGTGTTTCTGTTTCCTCTGGTCTCAGCCTACCCACCTCTCTCATGAAGCCACTGGTGTTCAATATGAGGCTTCTACTATGATGACATTATCTAATCTTACCTTTCAAAAGTCTTATTTCTAAACACCATAATCAGATTAAATTTCTACTCTTTTAATACCTGGAAGTGGGGATTAAAATCCATCATAAGTTTCAATTGAGACAAACCATCTTTGAACCACAACAGATGCTCTAAGGGATTTCATATTCCAGGCATACTCTTTCTTACCACTATTAGTAGTTTAGCCCAATTTACCCTTGGTAATCAGAATCATCATGGAAGCTAATATAGTATGTTCCTTTTTTGCCTCTTAATTAAGAGTGTAGGAAGACCAAAGTGACTGAAGATAGGTTTAACTCACAGTTCAATGAAAACATTATTGTGTCTTCCAGTGGAAGCATTCCTCCTTCTAGAGCTTAGATCCCTTGGTCAACAAAGCACAACATCACAAGACTGGGACACAATTTTTTTCTAGTGGATAGCAATTGGTGTCCCATTTTTGCACCTTGATTCCTAGATCTGTAAATACTGGCTATGGGAGAAATAGGACCATATATTGAGCATACACAGATTTATATTTAGAGCACATACAGCCTCCTGAAGATTTCCAGAGGCCAACATGGTGCTACCATTAACTGGCACTGTAACTGAGTCACAAAAGGCCAATTCACTGTTCTATCACTTTATGTGCTTCAGGATGATGGAGAACTGTTAAAACACTGAATGGGAACTTATGTACCTTATTTGCTGTGCAGTAAGACCTTTGATCAGAAGCAGTGATGTGTGGAATACCATGATAGTGGATTAAAGCTTATGGAGTATCTATTCCAGTAATTATGAAGTGTCACATCTTGCACGATGAAAGCAATCCAATATAATCAACCTGCCACCAGGTAATGGTGCCATTTAGGAACTCAGTGTTGGCATCTTCTACTGATAGATTGGGCAATGGCTAGCCAGGTTGGCTTTGGTGAGTGGAGTCCATGTTGACGAACCCAGGTATAACCTCTTTCCTTGCCACCATGGTCACTATTCATGAGTCTACTGGAAAAAGACAGGATTGGCAGGGGAAAAAAGGCACAGTTTCCACAAAATGGTTCATCCTCCCATTTGATTGTTAGCATCATCCTCTATTGAGATTACTTTTTGGTTAGTATTTACATCAGAAACAAATATCTTCATTTTTCCCATTCAGAGATGTCTACCAACACACCTCTTCTCTAGACATTCTTTCCACCAATTATTTTTTTTCTTTCAAAATTGATGACCATTTAAACTGATGAATATTTAAACTGGTGGTCATAGCTCATGAGTCTGAAGGGTCATATACCTCTGACTATTTCTCCATTTAAGTAAAATTAACACCCAATTTCACCACTGGAAATTATTCTCACTGGAGGGATTTTTTCTTTACCATTCTTTCAGAGATTATTAAAAATTTTACCATTCTTTCAGACATTATTTAAAAGGGGGTCTAGTGCAATAAATGTTCACTTTCAGGTGGTGCCTGAATATCATACATAACCATCTGTGTACCAGGCACAGGTTTCTTTTTCAGTCAACTGGTTTTAGAGGACTCCCAATGAAGTTGTAGATATGAGTTGGTATAGAGAAGGTAATGTGGCAGAAATGGAGACCATGGGCATTTGTGCTACTTCCTGATATAAATTATTTGTGTATCGGGATTCTTGAATCCAATCTTGTATATATCATTTCCATTTAATATTGGAGTACTGCCGTGCATACCCAATAGGGTTAGTGAGTCAGAGAATAATTAGCTCATGACAAGTAGATCAGGTTTCCTGGTAGCTAGATGGCCCATGGTTAGATGGCTAGTTGTTACCAGTAACAAGCCAAAAGCTCTTTCTTAAAAGGAAAGTAGTATCTGCAGAGGATGGCAGGATGTTATGGTTTGGATGTGAGGTGTCCTCCAAAAGCTCACTTGTGAGACAATGAGAGAGAGTTCATAGGAGAAATGATTGAGTTGTGAGAGCCTTAACCCAATAAATTAATTAATCCCATAATAGGATTAACTGAGTGATGACTAGAGGCTGGTGGGGCATGGTTGAAGGAGTTGAGCATTGGGGGTGTGGCTTTGGGGCATATATTTGTATTTGGCAACTGGAGTCTCTCGCTTTTTGATCATCATGTGAGCTGGTTCCCTCTGCCACATTCTTCCACCATGGTGTTCAGTCTAACCTTGAGCCCTGAGGAATAAAGCTCACTGTCTATGGATAGAAATCTCTGAAACTGTGAGCCCCTAAATAAACTTTTCCTCCCCCCAAATTGTTCTGGTCAGATCTTCTAGTTGTAGCAGTGAAAGAGCTGACTAAAACACAGGGTTTTGCTCCAAAACCTCAGGGTTCACTATGACTCACATATAGGGGCCTGCCAAAGGCTCCAAACCACATCCCTATCTGCTACAGACACTTCAAGCACCATCAGATATTAGGAATCATATACCCCAAATGGCAGTTCAGCTTGCATTGCAACCTGAACTTGTTGCATTGTATT